ATGTACATTACCATTAAGTGGCAAAATATGAAATATGTGCATTCACAAACCATGCTTCTTTAATCTATGTATGTAATATTTCAACATTTTGAATTTGCGATATTTAAATTACACCATATTTATAATAATATAAAATATAAAAATTAATATAAAATATAATAATATATACAATCTATCTATCTTTATATTTAAATTGTATAACATTTTTTAATCTCACAATTCCAAATGTGTGTGTCTGTATGTATGTGTATACAGTGCCAACCACTAATATTGGCACCCTTGGTAAATATGAGCAAAGGTGTCTGTGAAAATAAATCTGCATCGTTTATCTTTTTGATCTTTCATTCAAAAAATTCACAAAATTCTAACCTGTCATTGAAGTAAAACAATTAAAAGAATTAAAAGTGGGGGGAAACTCACAATATGAAATAAATGTTTTTCTCCAATGCATGTTGATCACAATTATTGGCACCCCTAGAAATTATGTAAAATAAAATAAAATAATAAAATATCTCTGAATTATATTCCCATTCATATTTACAATTTTTTTTAGCACACCAGGGTGACTAGTAGCATGAAATTCTCCAGCCATGACTTCCTGTTCTACAGGATTATAAATAGAAGGACACAAAGGCCAAATTCCTTTAATCATCATCACAAAGAGTAAAACCTAAGAATATAGTTCTGATGTGCAGAACAAGATTGTTGAGCTTCACAAAATAGAAAATGGCTGTAAGAAAAGAGCTAAAGCATTTAAAATCCCCATTTCCACCATCAGGGCAATAATTAAGAAGTTCCAATCAACTAAAGATGTTACAAATCTGCCTGAAAGAAGATGTGTGTCTATATTGTCCTAATGCACAGTGAGGAGGAGAGATCGAGTGGCCAAAGACTCTCCAAGGATCACAGCTGGAGAATCGCTGAGATTAGTTGAGTCTTTGGGGTCAGAAAGGCTAAAAAAAAAATCAAACAGCCCCTACGTCACCACATGTTGTTCGGGAAGGTTTCAAGAAAAATCCTCTTCACTCATCCAAAAACAAACTCCAGCACATTAAGTTTTCAATCATGTCTGACAACTGAATGTGCTGGAGTGTTTTTGGATGAGTGAAGAGGATTTTTCTTGAAACCTTCCCGAACAACATGTGGAAACTTCGAACGGGACTGGCTTCTATGGTCAGATGAAACTGAAAAAGAGCTTTTTGGAAGCAAACCCACCAGATGCGAATGGTGCAGACAGGGATAAAAAGTACCCCATGCCCACAGTTAAATATACTGCTGGATCTTTAATGATGTGGGCCTATTTTTCTGCCGGAGGTCCTGGACATCTTGTTCAGATATTGGCATCATGGATGCTATCAAATACCAACAGATAAAAAACCTGACTGCCTCTGTTAGAAATCTTATAATGGGCCATGGTTAGATCTTCCATCAGGACAATGATCCAAAACAAACATCAAAATCAACACAAAAATGTGTCACTGAGCACAAAATGAAACGTCTGCCATGGCTGTCTCAGTTCCCTGACCTGGACCCTATAGAAAATGAGTGGGGTGAACTGAAGAGTCTCTGATCTCTTGTCAGGTGTTCTCCAAACTCATCAGGCATTATAGGAGAAAACTCAGAGCTGTTATCTTGGGAAAAAGATGTTGCAATAATTGGGTGCCAATAATTGTGGCTAATGTGAACTACAGAAAAACATTTATTTCATAATAAGATTTTCCCCCCACTTTCCATTGTTTTACTTCAATGATAGGTTAGAATTTTGTGAATTTTTTGAATGAAAGATCAAAATGATAAATGATGCAGATTTATTTTCACAGCCACCTTTGCTCATATTTACCAA